TCAAATAGAAAAAGTTTGCCGATCTCCAGATTGAAAAATTCCCAACTCAAAGAGTTATCGTAAATAAAATAGTTGTAGGTTACGATGAGATGAAGCTATTCACGAAGTTTCAGCTGGATGTTAACAACTTGATAAAAAGGGTCTGTACCATATAATAGTTAGGAAAAGTTGTTTAAGACATCAGATGTCAAGATGTTTACTGAGGGATATACTAAGCGAATTATTCACACTAAATATGTTTATTTTATTATTATTCATAAGTCCGCTAATTAGTTAATAAATAAACTATGAATTTAGGATTATTTCTGATCTAAAAAAAGTTGTAATCAAAATAAAAAATGAAAAATAAAGACAAAAAGTATGTATGATGATAACATAAAGAAGGAGTCAATGGTTTGTGAGTGAGCCGTAGTGTCGTGGATCTGTTGCTTTTACTTGTTTTTTTAATCCGACGACAATCTTTTATTCGCTCGCCTCCGAATTACCGTAAGCCTTTAGAAAACCGAAGAGTCCTCTGGAACAGCTATTGAAGAAATCATCCCAGGATTCCTTCCACTTCTCCAGAATGTGCTCCGTGCTCGTCGGAATAATCGCTCTCTGGCGCGTTGTTCGGAACGAATCGTGAGGAATAAAAAAATACATAACAAGGGGCACTGAATATTCCGACGTGACGATTCATGAACTACATTTATGAAAATATTACAAAACATATCATGAACGTAACTGACAATAAAAATAATATTTTTTATAATAATTGTTCGCGATAAAATTGTATTTTATTAGATAATTTTAATGACTTAATCAAAGTAAATAGGAAGCTATTTTGTACGATAGTAGGCCTCACTTTTACGAATCCACATCGTTTTATTTTTGCTTTACAACGAAGAATTAGCAAAAATTATTTTATATAATTTTATCAGTGATTCGAAAGAATGAAGGGAACAAGTAACTGAAACTTATATCCGCAATTCATAAATTTTGAAAATATTCCACATAAATCAATTTTAAAATTAATTTACGCCTATTTTTTTTTTTTTTTATATTAAACTTTAAGCATTATACTTACTTAGGTAATTTTGTCTTCCTTATCACAAATAACCGATTTTAATAATTAAATAAAAGTGATAAAAATGTATATATTGTACTCGTCTGTAATTGTTAATAACGTTTTTTTTTTATAACTGAGCAGACTGATGTAGTATGTTGCGTTCTGGTGTAACATTTGGGCCAAAGCACGCAATGTACTAAGTGTTTTATCTTCCTCGTTTTTATAAACTGTTACATGTCATTTTATGAACATCTCAAGCAGTATATATTTTTGATCTCTCGTTCATTTTTTACTGAATCATGACCGGAAAGAGTTTAATTTAAGTATTTAATGATACTGTAAAAAGCTAAGTGGCGTACTACTCAATGAAAACTAGTGTAATGCTGATAACCAGTACTGTTGCCCAAAATCGGTCTTGGTCTAGCACTTTGCAAGACTAAGACTGCCTCAATGATGCAAGACCAAGACCAAGATTGGTAAAAAAAATCGATTATTCGAATAAAAATTAAGGCAAAATAATTACTAATTCTAGACAATTTTAGTTACTATGTGTCAAGAATTGGTATAACCAATATAGTTTTGTATTTAACTCTTCTAATTTTTCATTCGGGCTTAGTTAGGTTTTCCTTATCTAAAAAATATATAGCAATATCTCTATATCACTAAGCTAATAGGTAACTGCGAGACTCTTGGGCAAGACTAAGACCTATACCAAAACTGAGTTAGCAAGACCAAGACTAGTCTCAATCTCCCATTTGGGCAACACTAATAACCAGGATTTTATTTTAGAAAAACTATACAAAATAATATTTCAGTGGTCCCTGAAGACCTTAAAAAAAAATTAAATAAATTTTAAAAAACATTTTAAGAGAAAAAAATAATATATATTTTTCCTAAAACTTACATGTATTTATTGGATGTAATACATGCGCTGTAATTTAAAAAAAAAATATACATATTTTGATTGCTTAAGTATTTTTCTCAGATCACTCACACAAATATAGGACCAATAAAAAAAATATATATTTCCCCATTTTGGAAGGGGTGCTTCTCTTTTTTAACTTTATATCATTGATGATATTTCAGGTATAAGTTTTTTTTTTTAGCCCATTTAATAAAATTTAAAAAATGGCAACCTACCTCCTTGCAAACAAATTGTAGAACTTAAAATGGCTTACCTGAAAAAAACAAAACAATTAGATATCATTATGAATGAAAAAATTATTCCAGTTATTATTCTTAAAAGGAATAATTTCATGAATTTTTAATTACCATATCGTTGATTTATTGCAATAAGTCACTGTGGACATTTTCGATACACCTGTACTTCTAAGAACCTTATTGTGAACTTCTAACTCATTTATCGATATAAAGAAAAACAAATAAACATGTGAAAATCTTTTTACATATCAAATATAAATCTCAAATATAAGAAGCATAAAGTTTTCTGATATAACGGAGAGAGACTGCCTCTAAGTTCTCAGTGATTTATGTTTATGAAATGTCACTTTCTTTTTGCAAACTAAACCGACGATATGGTATTTTATATTAAATAAAATAGCATAAAATTCCAAAGAGGTTCTAAATTTAAAGGGAAGAGAGGTAGGGGATTTTGTGAAGAGGTTTAATTCCTATCGACTCCGTGGCGTGCGGTGAAAGGCTTATCGAAATCGAGTTAAAAGCTTTAAGCCAATCGATAAATTATGCCCAGCCGCGATTCAATCGCTAATAGACCCCTTTCTTTAAAAGGTTCCAAACGTAATTAGCAGCGGGTCTAATAAAAAAAAAAAGTTATAAAAATAATAAAGTGCGTAAATCTTACGTTAAAATATTAAAATATGAGTTGTTTATAGTTTATCTAGTGAAGCTTTATTTGAGAAGATATCAACTTGGTTTCACCTATCAAGAATGTATAGTTATATTTTAAAATTATTGAAAATACTTTTTATTAATAAAAAAAAATTAATATCATTATTTTTTAACTTGTTTATTGAAAAATATTACAATCTGTCTCAAAGGACATTTATAATAGTGTTCAGAGATCACATTCACACTCTATGTACAATAACACATACATAGCTATATACACTATTTACAATCAGACGAGAGAACTCCGAGTCAGAACTACTACTGTGGAGGGAAAAGCATCACTCCAGGAGATCCCTACACTCATCTCTCAACCTCGTCTCTGGGACTAAACCCAGTGAAGATTGAGCGAGAGTGCTTTAGTCACAATATATAATAATATCGTTATTTAAAGAATTATTACTGAGTGCTTCATAAATAATGTGTAAAAATTTGTCTTTTATAAGAAGTAATTCTTGATTTTTGTCAAGCAGGAGGTTAACAATTTACTCTTAAATAATAGCGGATTTAGGATTTAATTTGGAGGTTTAGGTTTTTCCTATAAGAAATGAGTAACTTATATGTTGAAGTGGTGCTTAAAAGGCCTGTAAAAAAATTCGAAAAATAATACTTTCAGAGATAATTCTTCTTTCTTTTTTATATAATTTTTCTTTGCTTGCTATTAGTAAATATATATTTTAGGCCCACTTGGCGAACTGAGTTCTCCCCCACCAATTGATATATATTTATTATTATAATTGTGAGTAGATGGTTGTAAAGAATAATTAATAGATCAGTTAAAATAAAAATAGTTAAAATAAATAATAATATTTATTTTTACGTTTGCCGACGTTTCGGCCCGAAGTTCAGGCCTTCATCACGGCTAAGAAAAGAACCAGATAACGATAGGTATGAGAAAATGTAAACATTGAATAATAAATAATTTTTTTTTTGTTCTTATTTATTGAAAAATATTACAATCTGTCTCAAGGACATTTATAATAGTGTTCACAGATCACATTCACACTCTATGTACAGTAAATAAAATAAATTATACAGAAAAATAACATATATTCAATAAATAAGAATAAAATAACCTAGAAATAAATGAATAAAAAGAACACATACCTATATACAATATTTACAACCAGATTGAATAAATAATTAAATTTATTTTTGCTATTTTTATTTAGACTGATCACACCAACCATCCTGTATTCAATTTATTATTTAAAATGATACTATATTGAGATTGTTTAAGTATTTAGCTTACATTACTCACAGAAATAAATATGGACCAATGAAAATGAATATTATTTTTCTAATTTGGAAGCCTTTGTTCCGAAAACCCTCCCCCCTCCTGTAGAGCTGCTAGAACTGGTTTCTTAAAAAATCGTTTATCAATTTTGGAATTTTCTATCTCGTATTTATAAATAATAACTCTATAAACTTTATTCATCTCCTCAATTAACGATCAATTATAAGAGAATGATAGGCGACAAAAACATATAACTGCGTTAAATCCCTTGAAATACGTAACTCAAAGAAACAGAAAATATTAACGTCACGTGTCAAGTATTGCTGAATGGTTATGACCAGTCGTAAATGGATCAATTCGTTATTGAGAAGATTAAAGGATCTTTTAAAAGATTATTGAATGACTATGAAATTTCAGTTTTTATGAATCGAGAGCAAATATTCAATTGAGCATTAATACGAGACATATTTATCTGAGAGGTGATGTACGGCGAAGGTTGCGTAAGTTCCTCTCCTCGCATGGATCCTACTAGGTACATTCTCCTCATGTACGTGCACTAAAATCAAATAGGAGAGACAGACGAACTATTTAATAAAGAAATAAGACAGGAGCGGTGATATTTTAACGAACCGCTCCAGCTATACACGCCGCATTCTCATGAGAACTCAGGCGACAATCCCTAACCGATCCCATTTAATATGGAGAGACTGGTTACACGCGGGGAATAATTATCATTTTTTTTTTCTCTCTTTCCCGCTTTACTCCCCATTTGCTAAAGAGAAATCAAACGAGTCGTTTCCGAGAAATAGAACGGTAGGTAGAACGGTCTTGGCCTTTTCGGGCTTGGAGATGACGAACCACGCACGGTTCATACCAACAACGTACGTCTTGGGGCAGCTTCTTCTGTACGCTGGGTGGGTGTACACTGATGTACCGCTGTGTACCCTGTATGGTACAGGAAAAATTCGTATGATCGAGTTAAGTGCAAAGAAAACGTCAATATTTATTAAAAGCACCATTCTTTCGAAGAATTATTTATAATATACATATATATTTTTTTAATTTATTTATCCTAGACTGAAACGACAAGAAACCGCTCCGATTACTTCAGCACTTACTAGACAAACGCTCTAAACTTCCAATTAATTATAAAAGACTCGTATACTTGACTATAATAAGGCCTATTTGGACTTACGGAGTTGAGCTATAGGGTTTCACTAAACCATCGAATTCCTCTTGTATCCAATCCTTACAATCCAAAATCCTTCGTAAAATCAATGCTCCCTACCTTGTTACAAATAAAACCATCCATAATGACCTTAATGTTTCTTTTTTTTCAGATCTGGCCCAATCCAGATACCTATCCTTCCATAATAAACTTCAGAATCATCCCAACTCACTCGTTTCTAACCTTGCTTCCTCTTCAATTCCTGATAACCCTCCGAGGCGTCTGAAAAGAAGATGGCCCAGTGATCTCCTAATGTAGACACATCATTAGATTGCTACCATTGGGTAGTTACTCAGCAAGTGTTTTCATGTCATTATATCCATTATGTTCAAATTTACTAGATGTATTTATTCAATACAGTTGTAATTACCATTAAGAAATAACAAAAAAAAAGATTTATTTATTCATAATATTTACAACAGTTTTAAAATAAAAATACATCTAGAAAATGTGTTTTATTTGCTGTTCATAGTGTGTGAATGTGATCTGTGAACACTATTATAAATGTCCTTGAGACAGATTGTAATATTTTTCAATAAATAAGATTTAAAAAAAAGAAATGTGTAATTTCATTCTGGATTAGTTAGGTTTCTTCTTTCTAAAAAAATTCCGTAATATCTCTTTAGTAATAAGCTAGGTAACTGCAAGACGAAGACCAAGCCCAAGAACGAGTTCGCAAGACCAAGACTCGTCTTTGTCTCGCATTTTGACAACACTAATTATGCGCTTGAGGAATCGGAGACGTCGAGCGGTTTCTTGTCGGACTGTGGAGTATTATTAAAAAAAGTCATAGGTTTACGACGAAGGATCAATTTAATTTGATAGGATTTATTGGAGTTAATTTTCATCCTCCACTTCGGACACCATCCTTCAAGGTTTTTGGTGCGTGATTGAAGAGTTTGGGCTGCAATTGATGAGTCGTTACTAACTGATAGGACACAGGTGTCATCGGCATACGTAATTCAAAATATGCAAAGACATAGAGATTCACGAGGCAGAGGACATTTCTTTGGCTATTTTAAACTGGTAATTTGAGAATTATGATGCTTGAATCATCGAGAACGGTTTATTATTAATCACCGTTTGAGAAACTTAAAGTAAACTTTAATCTTTAAGAGGCTTTAAGTAACTCAAGTTATGCACAATTAGTTCAGTACATAAGAAGCTACCCATTGAAGAAACCCCAAGCCGCTTTATATGGACGACAATGTTCTCCAACTGTACCCTGCGTCGGGAAACAGAATTCCAGAGTGTCTGCCGCCACACGTCGTTGGCATTATTAAACCAGGGCATGCCATCCGACCGCTCCAACTCAGCCTATATGCAAATCGCCACTGTTGAGTACGCTCTTCAGGCGACTCTACGGCAAAACAAATCAAGCAACTTTTTATAGTTCCAGACCTACCAGCGTGGACTAATATCCAGCTATTTTAGAAAGCTTCTTGTATGCTAAGCATTGAGTAGCAATAAAAGACGCTATGGCTACTCACTAAGTAGTCATGTATGCTCATATACATGTCTATAATAAAACGTCATCATACCAGAATGAAATGACAAGAAACCGCTGGATGTTTTCGACTACTCCAGCACTTACTAGACAAACGCTCTAAACTTCTAATTATATACAAAAGACTCATATATACGACTCTAGTAAGGCCTATTTGGATTTACGGAGTTAAACTTTATGGCTCAATCAAACCATCGAATTACTCTCGTATACTTACAATGCAAAATCCTTCTAAAATCCTCAATGCTCTTTACTTTACCGTCTATAAAATCATCCATACTTAATGCTTCCGATTTGGTCCAATTGAGATACCTATCCTATCGTGATAAACTTAAGAACTATCCGAACCATCACGTTTCTAACTTAGATCCCTGAAGACCTTACAAGTCGCCTGAAAAGATGTCCTCGTGATCTTCTAGTGTAGAAATTTTATTAGAATCCTAGGTATCGATAGGTAGTTTCTCTAGATGTCTTTTCATGTCATCATATTTCTCTGTGTCACATTTACTAGATATATTTTTATTTGTATATAGTTTGAATTTACGGAGAGCGTATAGGTAGTTAGTTAGTTAATTTATTTTTCTTCCTAAGTAATTATCATTATATTGATAAAAAATAAAAAATAAAAAGCTGTCGGGCTGAAGCCCCCATTAAATCCTTTATCCGCTACTGTATAGTTGTAAATTAAAGTAATTAAAAAGCATGGATTTTATATAATTTGTAATTTGTTCTGATAATAAGAGATGCTTTGACTTTAAGCTGGTTTGGATAAGATTTGGTGTTACAAACCTACTTTTAAAAAAAAACATTCAGCCTTATACTTTTTTTTGTTTTTTTTTTCTCCAAAAAATTATGGACTTTTATCCTATACCGTTTTCAAATTTCGCGAATATTTATATATATATATATATATATATATATATATATATATATATATATATATATATATATATATATATTGTGTATACGCGCGCAGACTCGACTACAGGAATTAATATAGACATAATATTTTGAGGAAGTACCAAAGCGATACGCCAGCGATAACAAATACACGGGTTGAGTGGCAGGACATTCTGTTTATTACGACATAATTGCCTCAACAGCGACAGCCTTCCGTGACACCTCCAGAACACTGAGGACCAATTAGTGTTCTCGTAAAGGTACCAACCTCTTCCTTTATTTATTAACATCGCTCTGTCAGCTTCTTACGGGAGTTGTTCAACCTGCAGGACGGAGCTAATGATAACCCTTTCAAAGAAGATATAGATACATAACATGGATAAACATTATTTATATATATATATATAATATGGTAGTTTAAATCCATTTTCCGAATCTAAGGAGAGATGAGATTTGACGAATGAAGCATCCATCAAAGGAATGGGAATTTCATAGAGAAGTGATGATTACCACTTTTAATTATTAAACTCCTTTAAAAACTTTAATAAAACTTTTTGAAAAAAAATAATAAGAGGTCAAAAACAAAACTTTACGCATCGAGGAGATAAATTGTGTTATAAAGCACAGGAATGTCCCATTTTCGAGATGAATCGTAATTCATTCCGAAGGCCTCTCAGATACTTATCAAGTTTTAAACATCGACGAACTAAAAATCTATAAAAAAGTTAGATGAAGAAGAATATCTCTATGATCTCTTGGTCTATTTGAATAATATAGAAAGAACCTTTTTATTTATTATTTAATTAAATAAAAAAGTTTTTAGTGACTGTGTCATATTTTATTTTATATATACAAAGCGGGACGAACCATAATAAAAACACTACAATTCTTATTCCCAGAATTATTTCTAATTTATTATTGTTACTAATCGGCAGTAAGGCGCGATGTATAATATAGATTTTTAAAGAATTTAATAATTTGTCCAAACTGTGGTTTCGTTCCGTTTGTTTTATGTTGATAAAAAATAATACATCTGAACTACAGAATACATCTAAATTACAATTATACAATTTGTACGAGTAGAACAGTTGTATAATTTGTTAAATGGGGGTTGGTCCGCTGTTAGGTGGATTTTAATAAATAAATAAAAATATCCACATATTGCTTTTATACTCTTAGTGAGATAGTCACCATTCAAAACTTTAATGTATTAGTTTAATTCAGGGATAACTGTGTCTTATCGCTTAATTAATAAACTGGAGAGATATTTTTCAATGAGACATGCTAATCATATTGTGATGAATAGACTGTCTTGATGTCATTATATTGTATATGTGAATAAACATTTTTCACTTATATGTCGATTTATCGAGGAGGAGGTTCGATATATAATGTGGGAGTCATCATAGGAATATTCTATTAAATACTTAATAATATAGATCTATATATGTATTTCGATATATAATCAATTATACGATACCCAAAATCTTTATATGGGCGGAGCCGGGGGGGATCAGACAAAAAAATGTCTGAACGTGGAGCAAACAACCCTTCCCGAGGCACCCCCATCAATTTAGTGGCTACCAATTGACTACCGTTTAATGGTAATTACTGTCCGATAACTGTCGCTGATAGTTATCCGACAGTTAACTGACGCAGTTTTTATATCGGTCTACTTTAGATCAACTGCCTTCAGTTAATAAGCTATTGGCAAACTCTTAACATTTTTTTTAATCTTTATGTAGATTTAAAAAAAAATAAGACATAAATTATATACATTTGCTTATAGATTTTTTCTCAATAAAAAAATATAATTTTCATTTCTTTTTATTTATTTTAGTACGTGGTATAGACCCTTTTTTTTATCAAATTATTAACATCCGCCTAAAACTTCGTGTATAGCTTTATCTTACCTTAAACTTCAATTTTTGTAACTACGAAACTTATCAGAAATGGGGCGTTTTCTCATTAAACCAATTAATTTAATTAGATATTAAAAACTCATAAATATTCATTTGAATCGTAATATAATTTGATCACAAAATAGAAAAAATATTGGGCCGTTTGGAATATATAGTTATTTATGGCGTAGATCACGCCAAACGGCCGAATATTTTTGAAGACTCCCTCTAGTGTGATGAAATTATCTTACGATTCAATTAAAAAACAAATTAGTTTTTTTTTTTTTTTTAGTACCTTATTAAATAAACAAAGTTTGTTTATCACTAAATTGAAAATACCCCAATGTCGTGAATTTTCGTAAATAAAAAGTTGTATCTTACTATAAAATATAGCTATTCACGAAGTTTTAAGCGGATAATAATTATTTATCCGTGGTATGTACCACGGACAATGTATTTTTTCCCAAGACTTATTGAATGTCCACATTAAAACCTTTCTGTAAACTGACTAGTTACATAGTAGTAATTTACACATTTATCTAATTGGGGATAAAAATGAAGTTCTGCAATTATAAATAATTATCATACCTTCAAATATTTCGCTCAAAGCCACATGTTTATGCAAACTACTAGCTAATTTAAAACATGTGTAATTTGAAATATCTTACTGAGTCATGAATATAAACAAGGTTCAGGCCGTCTATTTGTCTTTTTTTTTTTATTATAATTTATCTGCATAATTTAAATAATAAATCATTTTCAGATTATAAATTATTATGAGGAAACAATATATAATAAAGTAAAATCTATAATATAATAGTTGACGATAAATTACAAGTGCCTTAACTTTGAAATATGACGAAGTGATTTTATTAAAAATTAATTTATGTTTTATATAGTTGAGGTTATTTATTGCTCTATTTATTTATTTTTTTATAATACAGTTTATTAAACACATCACTACATTTATGCTGAACAGTGGAATTTTTACAGAAAACTATATATATTTTATTTATTTTTTTTATCTGTTTATTGAGTAATAATACATTTTGCCACACTTAAGGGCACTGAGTACTAAGGCTGAGTGAGGCACATTCATACCATATATACAATACATAAAAAAAAATAAAATAAAATAAAAATAAATAAATAAAAAATATAAAAATCTATATAACAAAGGCAAAAACTACAATAAACCAAGGAAATTAAAAAATATTTAAAAAAATTAAATTAAGTTAAAATTAAATGAAATACAGAAATTCGTAAAGAAATTAAATAAATTATAAGTAATAGAAATAAAAAGAAAAACATTCATACTTAAATACAATATTTACAATTAGGTAAGAGATCTCCGAGTCCAGCCCTTTTCCCCACGTGTGAAGGACAAAGCGAGACTCTAAGAGATCCCAGCACTTCTCTCTCAACCGCGTCGCCGGCATTACCAGTCCGGTGGATATATTTTATTAGAAGTTAATTTGGGTGTGCGATCAAAGATGAAATAAAATTGCACGTAGATATGAAAACATATTTTATGATTATAAAATATTTTTTTTATTATTCATCTTTTAATTTTAAATGTATGTAATTTTTTTTAAAAACATATTATTGAGAGAGCACATTCACACTCTATCAAAAACATATAAAAATAAATAATACAGAAAAACAATAACAATAAAAGCAAATGTATATAAACTTAACTAAACTAATAAACTTTTTTACATCGAACAACGAACACATCGAACAATAATTGATTTAAAGTATTAGTATTATAGGTGTATAGTACATATTTTATGATAACCATCTAGAAATGATAGGTGACTATTTGAATACGACTTCTTTTAAAATAATAGGGGATATAATGTATCAGCTTAATTGTGTTTGTTTATTAAAACTCTTAAACTTTGAATGAGCCTACGTCAGAATTATCGAGTCATTTTTCTCAATTCTGTTAGCAATGTAATTTACATGGCAATAATCTTCCTGGTACACTCCGGTCTGATAAACTATCTCATTGATTTTTTTTTTTTCTTTTCCAATATTTACATGCGCATTAAATATTTACACAGCTTATCAATAGACCGGTAT